AAACATAAGAATGTTCTAAAATAATTGTCGGACTTTGTCCATTTCATAATGTCTGACGTCATTTGTTTACATTTGGATATGCAGCGAGCAGATATGAATGTACGTGAGAAAACCATGGAAAATTGTAGTTTAAAAACCGTAAAATCGATCTTGCTAACCGAAACGCTTCTCTGTGGCCCAATCGGTTAAAGGCATGTCAGGCTATATGCGGTTCCGTATAGGATACAGGTTCGATTCTTGTCGGAGGACGCATATTTTCTATTGACAATTCAGGCCGGTAAATGTTGTTAATACTGTTTATTATAAACAGAGCATTTACTTAAATATTTGTATCTATAAAAAAAGAATGTATAGACATAAAAATGTCTGAAAATAATTGTCGGACTTTGTCCATTTCATCATATATATATATATATATATATATAGGTAATTATACTCGTCTCAAAAAACCTTCGAATTTTTGATTTGCCAATAATCAAATCAATCTCGAAGGAAAAAAAGGTTTTAAAAAAAGAAAGAGCTAGAAACATGAAAGTCTGTCGAAAAAATCACACAGATACAGGTTTGAAGCCCAAAGAAAAACCCCGACACGAGTAAACAACTAACTAAAAAGAGCTCAATACAACCGTAGGGCAGACCTAGTCAACCTATTCTCTTTCTTTGGTCACGTCGTATAATTTTGTTTGTCGCCTATAAATATGCCGTGTCTCTTTTGCCTCTTTAGACAGCTTTCCCTGATGCTTGTCGCCTATAAATATGCCGTGTCTCTTTTGCCTCTTTAGCCAGCTTTCCCTGATGCTTGTCGCCTATAAATATGCCGTGTCTCTTTTGCCTCTTTAGACAGCTTTCCCTGACTATCCACTTAGGTGAAACCTGGGTAGGTTTGTCTGGCTCACTAGGTTTGACTATATATATATATATATATATATATATATATATATATATATATATAAAGAAAACCCAGATAAGTTGGTGAAACCAAGAGACAACTTGCCAAAAGGCAGGACTAGCAACCGTCTTATCCCGCGTGTTTTTACTGTTACTTTTTATCTACGAAGAGCATCACAATACAGCGTGGTTATATTTTGCCTTTAAAGCATAATGACTTGTTCAGAGTTTCCCGGTAACACACATTTGCTCAGGTTTGAATCCGAAACGTAAACAAAGTAATTTCTAATGAATTAATGGATTTTATTTGTTAATATAATTGATATAGACATAAACACTAACGCCAATATACACCCGACGCCATTTTGTTTTTGTTGGTATCACCCTATGCAAGGCAGTAAATCCACTAAAACACAAGGAGTTACAGAGTATGTAAGAGTTAGCAAGAGCTACATTAAATTGAGAAAAGAATAATCAGGAGAACAGTAGATATCAATTAACATTGCATTTAAGTTTTTTTTGGAGATTAAAGTTGGCTGGAAAGCATGGCGCCGGAAGAGAATTCCACAAGCGATTAGTGCGAGAAAAGAAACTGTTAGCATATAACTTCCGTCTATATCTAGCTAGCTCTTTTTGGCGCCATTCTATTATCGCGCTTAAATTCATAAAGTATAGTTACCATAACGAAGAGCTCATTCAAACAATTATCATAAAAGTATTTATAAAAAAAGACACAGAAAGGCAACCTTACAGCGGTGGAAAAGTGATTGAAGCTGAGCCGCCATATTAGAACCAATAATATTGCTGCTGCTTCTTTGGCTCTTATCAAGCAACTCAAGGTAAATAGCAGGGGAACAGAACCATATGTGGCAGCAATATTCTAAGCATATACGATGCATAATTAATGAAATCAAGCAACATATAATTTAAGAATTGATACAAACATAAACACTAACGCCAATATACACCTGACTTGAATACAAACAATCAATACAAAGCAAACATTGAATTCAAAAACAGAAATATAGTTCCAAATCTTTCCTCTCCTAAAATTTCTGAGCCTATATATAGAAATACATCATGACTTGGCCATATAATTAATGATCTAATACTGAGGTCTTTAGGCGTTTCGGTTCGCTCAATATCATACACAGTTAATCCAGCTAGTATCGATCAAATACCAGCTTATTACCAGGTAATAAGATACCAAATATAACATAAACTACAATTGAAAGTTTTATGGCCGACTCTGAAACTTTCTTATACCGGGTATAAAAGCAAAATTGTCCAAATCGTGCAACAACACAATTGTCCATCCCACAAAATGTTTAATATCTATAAAACCACTGAACTAATTGAGTTTCTTTTAAACAGGTTTTCAGATAAGACGTTTAGCCATCTTGACACCATTTTTGTAAAAAAAAAAAAACCACTGAAAAACCCTTTGAGTTATTAAGTTTTGAGAATAAGAAAGCAGGTTAAAATTGTTTTATGTCAGACCCATTCAGTCAGTCAGATATGTGCCATGCGTGATACACGCTTAGGCGATCATGTATCTTTCGATACATGACGAGACAGATTTTTTTTCCCACAGTAGGTTGCCATTTCTTTCTGAGGGAGACCAGTTGCCATCCAAGGCTTTAGAACCCGGTCTCTCCTGCTATTTACCTATAGCCGGAGGGAGAAGAAAAGGAGTCATACTTTTCCCAAGGGTATTAACACGTAAGTGAATGTAATGGATTCGAATGGAACTCGAACTCTCCAATTCCTCAATCCCAGCCGCTATCCACTACTACTTTATCATGCCTTACGGTGGTGAGAAAATGACTGAAGCTTACAACGTTAGAGATGGCGAAGATTATCTTGAATAAGTTGGAAAATGGTCCTGGAATAATATATATATATATATATATATATATATATATATATTAAGTAATACATCGAGTCTGAAAGAACCCTCAACAGAATGAAGAAAGCATTGGACGGCCGTTTCATCCTCTATTTGGGACTCATCAGCAGTGTGCATCCACTACCGAGAATTGAAACCCTGACAGTTAGGTTGTCAAGAAAACATCACTGTTCCACCGGGCCTCGGTGACGAAGAGATTGCAAATCGGACTCAATATAGCGCCGCTCGCTCACATATTCCGTGGTGGAACTCTGCTGAGTTTCTCTCTAACCATAGGACTGTGCCCCCTGGAGCCACGACTACTATCACCAAGCCGCTCACTCTAGAGCATTAGAAGCCGGTTCAAGCAATGATATACACAACCTAATTGAGTGACAACCTAACTGCCAGGGTTTTAATTCTCGGTAGTGGATGCGCACTGCTGATGAGTCCCAAATATAGGACGAAACGGCCGTCCAGTGCTTTCTGCATTCTGTTGAGGTTTCAGACTCGATGAATTACTTAAATATAATTAATAAATCCTCCTAATAATTTCTATCATATATATATATATATATATATATATATATATATATATATATATGAATTTTATTTTAATACTTCATGAGCTTCCGATTTTCGTTTATTATCGATTTTATCACGATATTTCTGTTAAACTTGGAGAGCAATTATACATTCTTATTGATCAAAGTAGAGTCCAATAGTGTTATAAAAACTTCGGAGATTTCCAGTAAGATATCTTTAATCATTTCTACGATACAGCGGTTAGAGTTTAATCTAACAATTGGACAATTTTGCCGTTACACGATTTGGACAATTTTATTGTTACACCCGGTATAAGACAGACAGCGAATCCTCCAATAAATAATTTTTATTTTAATTCTTTTGCCCCAAACAAAGCGATGAAGCCACTAGGATGAAGATGGTTACAGGGAATGAAAGAGAATGAGAAGACTTTAGTGAGAAGTGAGCAAAGAACAATAAAAGAACAGGATTCAGGAAGACAAGATGGTGATTGACGTTTAAATTTGAATTTTTGACGTTTGTAGTTGGTAGGGAAGCAAGAAATCGGAAGGGATTTCTACAGGCGAGAAAAGAAACTTAGATTAGAACTGACGGTTGAATCTAGTCGTCAATCTAGTAGCACGCTTAAATTCATGTAATCGGGGCACCAGGGAATAAAAAAGCTCATCAGAGAAGTTGCCATGAAAATATTTGTAGAAAAGACAGAGAGAAGCCACGTCCATCGGTGAGAAAGTGCTTGAATTCGAGACGCCTGGTCAGGATCGATTACATTACAGATCCTTCTTTGGATTTTGTCAAAAATCTCGAGATGTACAACAGGAGCACCAGACCAGATATGGCTAGAGTATTCAATGCATGGACGAATGCTTGATTTGTAAATGTGCAAGATGGATTCTGACGAGAACATTTCTTGGCCTGACACAGTGAACCAACCTTCCTTGTAGTAGACTTAGCAATTGATTCAGCCTACTTCATGTCATTGGAAAACGTGACCCCCAAGAAGGCGTGAGTGACTGATTTGTTTTTACTGCGTATCAACCCTTTGTGTGTTATTTAAACCCGAAACATATTTTGGATTTTAGAGACAATACTTTTTCAATTGTGGGTGAATATTACATTAACAATTTTTTTTTGCTTTAGAATAACAATATTTTTTTCCTGATACAAGTCCTACTATTTAGCTGGAGGGAGGATATGGATTTGTATCTTTCTATTTTTTGAGAATAAAAATGATTTTCCTCAGATATAAGTTTTACTATTTAATCCATAGCTGCGGATATGATAATTTTATAAAGATTTCCTGTTGGTTCCTTATTTATTCAGATAGTGAAGTGAGAAGTGACAAAAGACTGGAAAATAAAGATAGCCATTTAAATTTAGGTTCTGAGGATGAAAAGTAAACATCGAAATAGCAACTCTTGTTTTTTTTTTTCAGATTTACTTGAAACTTGAAAATCTCCATCCAGTAGGGTCGTTCAAGTTCCGAAACGCCTGTAGTAGTTTCAGTTCTTTGCCCCCAGGGACAAAGTCAGTGTATACAATCAGCACAGGCAACTTTGCCCGGGCTGCGGCCTGGTTCGCCAAGTACCATGGAATGAATTGCACTATTTTGGTCCCGGAGCACGCCCCAAAAGCGAAGACGGACGCTGTTGAGAAGCTTGGAGCAACGGTCATACGAATGGATCACAAAGCATGGTGGGAAATCATTTGCTGCAACAAAGAGTATGAAAAAGCCGAAGAATTAGGAGTGTTTATTCACCCAGAGATTGAAAGGAATGTTATTGCAGGTAAATATGCATACATACTTACATAGATAAATACATGGTGATTGCCACATCTAACTCAGATTAGAGCCGCCCCCTCACCCTACGCATCACTTGTCATGGCTTACATTTCGTTTCGGCGCCGGCTATGGCCTCTCAAATGACTCTTGAAAACAAGCAGATGCGTACTACAGACTGGGAGGCCAACCATGATTGGGAGCCTCGGGCGGTGCGTTGTGACTCTGGATATATCTTATCAGCATTTCTTTGTTTTTTTTCTGCATACATTTATATACGTTACAAATTGAATGAAGCACAATTGACTATTGAAGGATGAAATATATCCGAGGGTTTTGACGTCATTCTGGAGTTTTTCCGTCCAAATCCGGGAATTTGATTTGCCCATGTTGTCTCAAAAAATAAATAAAAATAAAAAAAAATAACATAAAATAAATAAATAAAAATAAAAATAATTACATATAATTCATTATTTTTTTATCCATACATATGTTAATATTATTCAACGTATTAACAAGTTGATGCTAAAATTTGCTGATTTAAGATGGAACGATCTATTATCTATCATAACGTCTCTAATTTGTATTTAAATAAATTATAATTATTTTCAATTTTTCTAGTTGAATTGTTCACCTATATTACATATAATCTATTATTATACATAATTAGGTTACCGTAAAATTTTCTAACTGTTAAGGTTTAATCACCCTCCCCCTCATAGTTACACTCTCTCTAAATTCTGTTTTTATTTCCGGAGTGGATTTTTCTGTTTTCCTTTTGAATTTGTAGGTCTGATGAATTGGATCGTATTTACGATTCCAATGGAATAAATTATGACCATGGAATATTAGTGTTTAAGCCTTTTATTATATCTTTTACTCTGTCCTGGACATTGAGTTCTACCTGGATTCTTCCTCTTGAATTTTTATTCTAAAAATATACATGTATGGGTATTTATATATTTTGCATACGTATGTATATTTACCACTAATATTATCTATCTATCTATCTATCTATCTATCTATCTATCTATATATATATATATATATATATATACACACACTCACAAACATAGATAGATAGATAGATAGATAGATAGATAGATAGATAGATAGATAGATATGCATTGGGATTAAATATAGATCAAATATGAATGGGAAACCGCCCTAATAATGACAGTATGTGGAGTAGAAAAGAAAAAGAAAGAAAATTCTGCTTTTAAAAAAAATGGTGTGTTCTTTGTTTTTAATTGTTTAAGAAGACTTCACGTGCATCTGTCTTGTCCAGCAGTGTTTGTATATATAATTCATGCGTGTATAAGAGAAAAAAAAAGATAGATTTCAACAAGTATAGATGATTTTTTGACATCAAGGTGGATGGATGTATCACCATTTCTGAAAAGCCACGAAACTTCATCACACTTTTTTCATTCTTTCCAGGTAACGGAACTGTAGCCCTTGAGATATTAGAAGATCTACCTGACGTAGATACCGTTATCGTACCATATGGTGGGGGTGCACTGACTTCGGGCATCGGCACGGTGATGAAGGCGTTGAAGCCTAATGTTAAAGTGATTACCAGCGAAGTGGATACATCGCCTCAGGTACGGTACATAACGATGTGCATTTGAACCAGTGACCTCTTGCGGCATCTTCTCGTTCTCTTGCACTGTTCGGTCACATTGTTTTCGTTTTGTTGTTGTCATCACAACGTTTCGGTCATTTCTGGCCCTCTTCCATCCGGGTAACGTTCATGGTGTCTCGAAATGAACCCATTAACTAACGTAAGCTGCCTAATGTCTAGGGATATCTCGTCCTGTTCTTATTTTGTATGTCTAAGTCTGGCGCATAACCGAACAGAGGTTCATAGAAGGTACGAAGGTCGTGTTGTAATAAACTCCCAGGAGATTGTGTATATGTGTGTGTCGGGGAGGGGGGGGTGCTGTTATTTTTTTAGATCAAAATTTAATATCGTTTTCAAGTAGAATCGAACAACAATTCATGATTTCCTCATTCCAAAATCCTAGTTTGGTGCAAGGGAATATGAAAAAGAGGGATCTGGAGAGAGAAAGTTCGTGTTGCGGCAGTCTTTTAAGTAGAAAAAAAAAATGACTGTCTTGAAAATCAGTATTAGAAACATAACTTTTACCAGAGTTTCAATATTGGAGCTGGTAGCAAGTACATAGATAATTAACCCACTACGCTTCCCATTGAGAATAATATTTATGTTATCATCTTCCGGTCGTTATACTCTCCGGCTTTCTTCAGGTGTTTATCGACCGAATAACCTTCAGGTAATTTTAAACTGAAACTATTATTCATTCACCCGGGAAAGATAATTCTCGTTCCACAGTGCATATCTATGTATACTTAGTCTTGTTCTTATTAGGTTGGTGCAAAATAATGACGTAATAATGTCGTTTTTGACGTATTTTTAACGTCAAAAAACGACATTATTACGTCATTATTTTTGCACCAACCTAATATTTAGTAGGGTTCAGTTATTGCTTGCCTTGTTTCCGATGAGACCAAGTCTAATCTATCGAAACCAGGAATTGACGAACCAATGTTTTAACCAAAGGCAGGACAATCCTGAAACTAGAACTTGAAGACTTAAACCTAATGTTCTTATTTACGTGTCTTGTGTTGTTGCTGTCACGCTTAACCGCCTTCTCCGCCGATTCCCTTATCTCATTGCTGCTGTTTCTGTTGAAGATTATTTATTTTATCGTTAACTCTTTCTGTCATATTTTCTCTTTGTTTCTTTATTAATATAGTAGTTATTTCTATGCTGGGCCTACTGAGGAAACCGTCATAGCCTAGCAAATGCTCTGATTACTTCAGACATCTGATTCCACAGTGTTCTTCTCTAGTATTTTTACGCCATTCCACATCGAATGGGGAGCACCCTTTTCACTTTATACAGGGTTGTTTTGTTTTTTTTTCATTAATTTAATAAAAACGTTTAATATCGCCGAGAGGAGAAAATATGGGTTCATACCTTTTCCATAGTTATTTGCACGGAAGCGAATGCAAAGAACTCAACAGAAATTCGAACACAACTCACTGATTTCTCGTACCAAGTCGTTATTAAACCTTCCACACATCCACATCATATACAAACAGACAAAATAACATTGATTGTAATTTACGAAACAGGACAAGATTTTGTAGAGTAATTGTCTATGGTTAAATGTAATTGGCAGAAATGCCCAACAAACGCATTTGACAAAGTTTGCAATAAAAAGAACAGGGGAAAAATTAAGCAAGCAAATAATATATGCAAGACAAAGCAACAGTAATAAGGCAAAAAGTTCACAAACTATAAATGTGTCAATGCACAAAAGGGGATATGGACAAGCGATCGCAGCATTCTGACTTCAAGACAAGAAAGAACAAATACATCTGATGAGATTGAGAAACGGCCTATCTTATTGGCTAGGTAGAAATCCCAGCATGCATTTGTGTTTTTTATATATAAATGTGGGGATGGAAAGATTTTGCAGTCATTTCTAATAAACAGAACCAAAAACATGATTTAAAATCTTTCAAAAACAAACTAAAACGCGCGAGGCCAGCCGGGAAGACAAAAATCGACGCATTTTTCATTTTAAAAATTGGACAAATCGCTTTAAAATGTTATTTAATTATATAAATGTTAAATTTATTTCAGAAAATGGCTTTTTCCACATTCTTTTTTGATAATTTAGGTATTCTTTTATCCTGAATTATTAATTACTGGATTTTTTTTTTTGCTACACGCTGTATTTAGTAACCTATCGCTAATAATTTTTGTTGAGATTGACAAACTCTATACGTTTCGTTCAATTTCGCAAAGAAATCGATGAAATTTGAATAAGCTGATTTATTCGGAAAAATCAGTTATGTGCCATGCGTGATACACACATAGGCGATCATGTATCTTTCGATACATGATACATGACTGACGAGGCAATTTTTCCCTGCAGTAGGTTTCATTTTTTCTGCGGTAAACCATTTGCCATCCAAGGCTATTTACCCATAGCTGGGGGGGGGGGAGAAGAAGAGGATTCATACATTTCCCAAGCACGTAAGTGAATGTAATAGATTCGACTGCAATTTGAATTCGAACTTTGCATTCGAACTCGGATTGCTTCAGTCTGAGCCGCTATCCATTACTCCACCGTGTATTTGGAAAAATACTTTGAAAAAAAAAAAAAACCTTCTTCGCGGTTTAATAATATATTGAATTTAATTTTATAGGACTTCATGGTAAATAATATTTTTTAAGAAAATTTCTTTTTTTCTTATTTAACAGCGGGGAATAATCTTTTTTAAGAATTTCACCCCTAGCAAGACGGGAGTGCCACTAGCACGCAAGGGGTTACAGAGGATTGAGAACAAGAGTAAAGAGGCGTGTTTCAGGAAAGAATAGAGAGACGGTCGTGGAACTAGCTCAGGGTGTCAGATGTCGATTGATATTACATTTGAATAATTGAAGATTATAGCTACCAAGGAAGCAAGTAATAGGAAGGGACTTCCATAGACGAGAAGTGCGAGATATGAAGCCACTGGAGTAGAAGAGACGGCTACATTTAACTGTTTCGACAGCGAAAGGATGAGACTGAGATGCCAACCTAGTAGCACGTTTAAATTCATGCAGTTTCGGAACCAGCGAAAGTAGCTCGTCACAACAGTTGCCGTGAAAATACTTGTAGAAGAGACAGAAGGAAGCCACGGTACGTCTGTTAGAAAGTGGCTGTAGACGAGATGCCAGATCAGAACCCATCACATTGCATATCCGTCTCTTTAGGATTTCATACTCTTGTGCTCGTTCTGGGCCTGTGTAAATATTTCTTTCTGGAGCCAATTTCAACTTTTTGACTTTGTGGTTTATTTATAGTTCTTACGAACGCAGCACGCACTGCAGACTGGGTTTTTGTATATATAAAAACTTAAAAGATATGCAAAAAAAAACAAAAAAACAAACAAAAAAAAACAATATTGCATTTTTATTAAATAAATATTTGTTATTTTAGTTATTAAATTGTTTTTAAAATAGTGGGATTATTTTGTATGTCAAACAATAAAACTATTAATTTTTCAAAACAAAAAAAACCCAAAAAAAAACAAACCCCAAAACAAGTAAAACCAACTGTACTTTGTATCCCCTTATATGTTTGCCCTTCTCTCCAAAATTTTGTTTCGATCGCTCAATGTATAGCTATTTTAGAGGGTGTGACGGACGAACGGAAGTCACAGAATTTTATATATAGATCCGAACATGTTTTTTTAGTTCCTCTTTCTTCGTGTACGGGTAATTGAAGACGTACTTGCTGCGGGAGTCAGTATTTTTGTTGTGAGGTTTGTACGTTTTTCAATAAATATTTAATAACTCCTGGTACATTTATCCCGCAAACAATATTTGACGGACTCATGTGAATCCAGGTAATAATAAGAACTAAAATCATGACATTTAAACAAACAGGTATTATTAAATATATTAAACGAACATGTTATAAAAAGCAAAATGAGAAATAAACTTAAAATTGTGAAGAGTTCAAAGCAACCTTTAGTATGTGTCTCTAAATTACTTACATGCCGACAGAATGAGAAAAGAACGTATTGTCGCTGTTAAAATCAAAAGGGATAGAGGAAGGAAATGTTTGTCCTTTTATAGACTTAAACAGCGCCGCCTAACGGGCGATTGGCGAAGCCAAAGTTGAATAACACATACATTGTAGAACAAAATTGTAAATATCTTGTTCGATGAAGTTAATAATGTCTAAAAGATGTCTAAAAAATATAATTTATTTTATTTTTCTTAATTAACAAACGAAAATTACTTTTTCCTCTTTCAATATCTGTTTTTCCAAAAATTTTCTTCTGCAGGTTTACGAATGCCGAAAAGCTGGTAAAGCAGTGTCTTGTCGGTATACAGCTAACTTCTGCGATGGAATTGGTGGCCGAGGATGCCTCCCTCCAGTATGGGCCGTTGCTAGCAAAGTGATCGACGACACGATCGTTTGTACAACACGGGAGATTGCTGACGCCATTAAATTGCTAGCCGAGTCGAACCGAATTGTAGCGGAGGGTGCCGGCGCGTCGTCTGTCGCCTCAGCCCTTTCAAGCAAACTGTCTGGTAAAATCGCTTGTGTCATAACTGGTGGAAACATTGACACGAGTAAATTGTTGCAAGCCTTGGCGGGTGAAATCCCAACATGATGCAAGAAAAAAAAAAAAAATATATATATGTATTGAAAAAAAATAGTTTTGTACCTCATTATATATTTTTTTTTTAATCAAAGACAGTATACATTTTGGTCGAAAGAATTTTAAAAAGTAGACGACCAAGGCAACATATAGTTCATCAAAGCTTCTTATTAAATATAATCATCTTCATTGGAACACAAATCTATCTCTTTTGGATTTTGTTATAAAAGAGAAATGAAGTAGTCATATTTTGTTAACATTTTTTTTATTATATGAAGTATTGTCATCGGTGTCGGATTTATGTATGGGCTTAATCCGCAGCAGCCTAGGGTCTAAATATAAAGGTTTTTAGATTTCTGGCAAAAAGAAATAAAATCAAGTATTATTTTTTGCTTCTATTTGTGATGTTAAAAACCAGGGACATGCTTAATTCAAAATCATTGGAGTATCTAAACCAAATTCTAACTGGAATAGCTAAGCCAAAATCATGTGCTTACCTGAGACCATATCATGGCCGTATCTAAACGAAAAAAAAAAAACCGTAATGTGCCTAAGCCAGAACCATGAGCGTATTTGGGACAACATCATGGCCGTATCTAAGCCACAAACCGTAGATTGCCTAAGCCCAAATTATTTGCGTACCCGAGAAGCCATCATGGCTGTATCTAAGCCAAAAACTACAAAATGCCTAAGTCAAAATCATGAGTGTACCCGGGACAACATATCTAAGCCAAAAACTATAATGTGCCTAAGTCAAAATCGTGAGCGTACCCGGGACAACATCATGGCCGTATCTAAGGCCCAGCCCGTAACTTGCCTAAGCCCAAATTACTTGCGCACCCGAGAAGCCATCATGGCTGTATCTAAGCCCCAAACCGTAGATAGCCTAAGCCCAAATTATTTGCGTACCCGAGAAGCCATCATGGCTGTATGTAAGCCAAAAACTATAATGAGCCTAAGTCAAAATCATGTGCGTACCCGGGACAACATATCTAAGCCAACAACTATAATGTGCCTAAGTCAAATCCATGAGCGTACCCGGGACAACATCATCGCCGTATCTAAGGCCCAACCCGTAACTTGCCTAAGCCCAAATTACTTGCGCACCCGAGAAGCCATCATGGCTGTATCTAAGCCAACAACTATAATGCGTCTAAGTCAAAATCATGAGCGTACCCGGGACAACATCATGGCCATATCTAAGCCAAAAAATATAATGTGCTTATTCAAAATCATGAGCGTACCCAGGACAACATCATGGCCGTATATAAACCCCAAACCATATCGCGCCCAAGCTAATATCATGAGCGCGCCTGAGACAGCATCTTGGTCGTGTCTAAGCCAAAAACCGTAACGTGCCTAAGCCAAAAGAAACAATTCATGCTATTTTTAGTCAGTTCGCTTAAATGATAAGTTTTCATTAAAAGAAATTGTTTCGCCTTTATGACGCTTAAATATAGCCATGAATAATAATACATAATAATAGCTGGCCATTCGTATTCGAGAATACTCGTCTACTAGGGCGGCTAGCCAATCCCTATTGCAGTCGCTCGATCAGGCACATTTGTGTCTGCTCAACACCTACAGAGCCTACCTGTGGTTTATACTCCAGCTATGCTGAGCAGGCTTTAGTTACCGTTTCTGGGAGAGAGCGAGTTCTCTAGCGTGATCAACAATTTGAACAAGGCCAGTACGTTCAAGCCCTCGGTCACGATGACTTGTGGTTTTGTACTAGCACAGATATCGACGGCCCACAAGAGTTCCGTCTACCCAATTTCCCTCACAAGGCTTGGGTCGACCCGTGGTATGGTTTTCAGGCACTTTCCAGATGTGTCGCACGCTGGGATCGACCTCGATCCAGTCTGATAACATCAGAGAGTCCCCTTCCTGACAAATCGACCATGTTGAGATTCGAACATGAGTCTAGCTATTAATAATATTAATATTAATTATTATAGCTATGAATAGGGGATATGGAACGCATTGGTAAAGAAAAGTTTTCCTTTTGTCTTTTATTTATAGCTATAAATGTTTTGTGCCAACTTCATTAACAATTCCATGCGTTCGTAGAATCGTGAAATATGGTCATTTTTTAAACAATCTTTTCCATCATTTCTGTCTGTGGGTGGCGGTAGGGGGGTCATCATTATTCATATTGTTTAGATTCTGACTAATATATTCACCTTTGCTGTTATTATCACAACCCTTCGGCATTCTTCATTTGTCTGTCTTTCTGGATAGCATTGAGGAGAATTCAAACTGAATATTTTAATTAATCTATGGGGTTTAGAGATTTTAATAATAGTGAGTTCAATCCCTGGAACAGGTAGTTCAAACTTATAATCGGGGGGAAACTTGGAGAGCAATGACTTAGCTGTCCTGAATAAAAACTAGACGAGATCTCCCTAGACATGGACAACGGAATAGGAACAATCTACTTCCGTAGATTAAATAAAGGGTTAACTTCGAAATGTTCTGATGGTCACCCGATTCGATAAACAGCTGAAGAAGGTTGAAGGTCAAAAAAGTTGAAATGTTGTGATAATGACAGCAGAAATGAGGACATTGGTTCGAATGTAAATAATACGAATAAATATTTTTAATAAAAAACAGATGCTTTAATTGTGCAGTATAAAGAAAAGAATGTGGTTCCACTTTTCGTAACCAAAAGCTCAAGCATCGGCCTCCCAATTCCGCTAAGCCCCAAGCTTCCAGTTGCTCTAATCTAGTCCGGATTGTCAATCTTTAGTAATTTCTGGTTGCTTTTAATCGCATCTTGATTCATTCTGTAAATCCAAAGCAGTGAGTTGACAGCATCGAACAAAATAAAGGATAGACTGCCGGTGAGATTCAGACAGACGTTGCTTTTCCTCGAGGAAGCCTCGTAAGCTCCTAACTATATTAAAGCGAGGCTATTAGAACCTAATGGCATTAAATAATAATAAATGTAATCTGGAACCTAGAAACTGGAACCAATGACTTCATTCTAAGGTCATTATCTGTGCCGTATAATGACTGACAATTTTTCTTCTAATAAAAATGAAGATGAAAGTAGATACTAGTTAAAAATGAATAATAATGGCTGACAATGGTTCATTTAATAAAAATTAAACGTGAAAGTAAAAATTCGTCAAAAATTAATAATGGCTAACAATGCTTCCGCTAATTAATAAAAAAAATAGATGAAAGTAAATACTAGTAAAAAATGAATAATAATGGCTGACAATGATTCATTTAAAAAAAAAATGAAGATGTAAGTAAAATCTAGTCAAAAATTAGGCTGACAATACTACCGCTAATAAAATATGGCGATGAAAGTAAAATCTCATCAAAAATTAATGATAATGGCTGACAATGTTTCATCCAATAACAAATGAAAATGAAAGTAAATACTCATCAAAAATGAATAATAATGACTTGCAATGCTTCATCTAATATAAATGAGGCTGAAATAAATACTCTTCAAAATTGATAACAATGGATGACAATGCTTCATCTAAAGAAAAAAAAATGTAAGTATAGGTGTTAAGAAGACAGAGTGGATTGACAAAATCTGCTGCTGTTGCTCGAAAACCATCTGACATGAACTTAGCAATTTGGTCACATAGATCAATCCTGCTAAATGAATTTTTATCCAGTGTTTTTCAATGTCATATTTTCTGTTTGTGATAAGGCAGTCGTTGCAGATATAATAGTCTGGATTTGAATTTCTCAGAATATTTCCTTTAATAATTTCCACTAGTTTCTCGTTCATCTTATTATTGTTGCTTTTTTATATTTTCTTCTTTCGTATGAAAATCTGTAAACCTGAATGAAAATGTGAGGTTATTTTTCTATGCATTTATTTATAATTAAAGCCGTTTTGAAACTTTATGAATATGTGTCTGTGTTTTATCTATTGGGATTTAATGCAAACGAAGATTCATTTGCCTGAACCGAGTCTGCATGAAAGACAAAGAACATGACAACCATATTTTACAAGCATTTAATAAATTAGAAGAATAAAATGAGTTTTGAAGACTGTTCAATATCAACAACAATAATGCTGATAATTCTAAGCACTTCCGGTCTCACTAGGGAATGCTGGGAGTAAACAGCTCAGTCGGGAGTTTGAATAAAATGACTGTTAAGTTGTCTGTGTTGTTTTCCCAGTCTCATATAATTTATCTTTCCACTCTAAGTCCAGTGGAACATGGTGCCAGAGAGGGATTCGTTCTAAAAGAAAATTATTTTCTAGTAGAAGAACAGAACCTAATTCAAAGATATATACATATATATTTAAAAAATGTTCAAATTAACTTCACAGAGCCGTTCGACTTTACAAATCCGGTAAATTGGCAGAAATTTACCATCTCTAAAAAGAGGAGATGTAGAGGCACGGCTCGGATTGAGGAATCGGAGAGCCGAATTCGAATTCCATTCAGATCCATTACATTCACTTAGGTGCTAATACCCTTGGGAAAGGTATGAATCCATGTCTTCTTCGTCAGACTGTCAAATAAAGAACCATTACTTGATCGAAAACAAGGCATAGTGCTAAGCCGAGTCCAAATTGGACATACATATCTTACACACAAATACTTGCCCAACACCGTAAATTGCCACAAAACCAAAATATCAACTAGAAAACTCGACTCATGTTCTTAAATAGCTTCGTAAAATCGAGACTTTCACATGAATGTTATGCATGCACGTTCAGAAATACCTACAACCGATTGCTACGATCAATGGTTAAATCAACATTGAGCGATTGAAGCCTGGGGGTAGAGACCACACTTCTTTGAATATTTTAGGCTGGCGCTACAGAATCACAAACAAAGAACTGTACCAAATAACAGAAATCACATCACTTGAGGACTACCAACAGCGGCGACAACTAAAATGGATAAGAAACGTAATTCGAAGAGAAAATAATGACATAATCAAGATGCTGACATTCCACACTATTTCAAATAAAATGTTAGGAGGGAAATCCCATCATTACTGGAAAGAGCGATGTCAACTATGGGACTTGATAAACCTATTTTACTGAAAAATTGATTTAAGCGAAGATTTTATAAACTTCAACCGAAAACAATACTGGCTGCTGAGTCAATGAATGTCAAATGTTTCCTTATGCGTAGCATATAATGTTCTCGTTGGACCACTAGATTTAATTTCTTTTAGTCCACACATAAACGCACTTGGCCGGTTTTTTTTTTCTTTACTGGAACAATTGATGCAACCCAGTCTGTAGGTTGGCTGACTTTTCTATAATACTATTGCATTCACTTTTTATCTTTGATAGAATTAGAAACGACGTTCATCTTGCTGTCGTAACACAGTACGCCTTGATTAATTGTACTGAATGTGGCCTATTTTAATCATTTTAAATTTAAAAGTTATTGAATTATCTTATATCATGAGTATCCAAAGGCAATAATTCAGAAGTATATCCATTTTGATCATCGATACAAAAATAATCCAACATTCGTTAAAATGGAAAAAAAAGTAACTGAATTTCTTTTACAAATTATCCACACACGAAAATGGCATTAAATTTTACATTTTTCAATTGTTCAAACGTGTCTTTATTTAATAAAAAATATTTTAAAAAATCTCTTGTTACAAATAGCAACAGGATGAATTTCAAAATCACCTTGAAATATTACAAGTAATTCTTTATTAAAATGAAAATTTTATAGAGTTTTTTTCTGTTCAATCCGAAATAAAATAATGTTTAATTAAATTATGCAAGCATCAACTCTCAAATAAAGTTATTTTCTTTTCAGTTTTATTGAATTATTTTTGCTAACAATCGAGACTAATTTTCTGTGTGTTCACTTTTGATATTGCATAATTTATTTAATGATATATTAGGTTGGTGCAAAAATAATGACGTACTAATGTCGTTTTTTGACGTATTTTTTAACGTCAAAACCGACATTATTACGTCATTATTTTTGCACCAACCTAATAATATCTCCAGGCATTTTTCTTCATAACTGTAAAAAAGCAAAAATTCACGGGCACCCCCACTCAAATTAAAAACTACACACGAGATATCGGAAAATGGGGGATGAAACACCAGATATTATGACAAAGTTTTCTAATAAAATAACCTATTCAACACAGCCACAAATAAATCAATACGTAGGAGTATGAAACGAAAATAATTAATAATAAAAGAAAAATTAAAAGTTAGGTAATAAAATTATTTTAAAATGGAGATAAGAATGGTAATTAACAATAAAGAAAGAAAAAATAGATTATAAAAACAATAGTTAAATAAAAAATAGAATACTCCCATGATGTGCCGGAACAGGCGTTTTGTCGCCAAGTGAAACAAAAATTAAATTTTTTCTCTTTTTGTTT